AAATTCTGCAAAAAATAATTTTTGTGGGACAAATTAAAAGTTATGACATAATTTATTTTTAAATAAATTGTATGCAGTTTGTTTTATTAAGGATAAAAATCACAAAACGGTCAAAATGACCGCTACGAGCGTTCTAGTGTTAAGTTAGGAACACTTTGAATGAATATCACTACAGCATATTGGATACTATGACAAATAATCTGTTTATATACAAAAACAAAGAATAAAATATAATAATTTTGAAAAATTTATTTTGCTTATTAAAAAGGATGCAAACAGTTGCCATCGAACGTCACTATTTCTCAATAGCAAAGGTATTACTCAATTATCTTTGGTATGCGATGCACTTCGTTTTTATTCTTACCATCTGTTGATTTTTTGTTGTTGTATATATTGGTAAAATAAGAAAATAAGAAAACATTTTATTCATAATTGAAGTATCTCTTTATCATCTAGCAATAACATTAGTGAGCATACATGGAATGTCAATTTTTTCACGAAAATGGTTCGAATCACAAGTGAAACTCTATGATGTTTTAATTTTGAGAAGTTTATCTCTCGTTTTACTTGAAACATACATTGTTAGCTCAATCAGCTAAATATCTCCTGTTTGTTTTAGTTTACATAGTTTAGTTTGTTCAATAATTCTACTTTTTCTCAACCTTTTTATCTAAAATCATTTTTATTTATATTATTTCAGTATTACCTTTTACTTTTACGAGAAAAACAATAGTATTTTTGTACAAGATATTATTATGTTACTCAACACTGAAGTTTAAACGTGGAATTTTCATTCATATTAGAAAAAATTTTTTTGTCACCTTGGGTTAAAAATTTAAAAAAAGTCGAATAGATTTTCAATTACTCTAAACTAAAAACTTTACACAGTAGTATTGTATGTGATGTCTGCTGTTCCATAAAATAATCACCATTTTGCATTTTTCTGAGGATATGAAGTGGAATTAACCGATTTATTTTCTTTATACTAAAGTAAGAAGTCGTGTTTCTTTTTCAACAAAATATCCTATGTAAAATTAATGCTGCTTCATTTTTTTATCATGTCAAACGTGACTGGTAATAAGCATCATTTGTTTTCTTGGATGGCGTACATGATAAATGTGAAGTTTTTCTATAGCGGTGAATAACGAAGGAAATGTATGGAACAAAAAGAAAGGAAAAAAAATGGGTTTGAAGGTGACTAAAGAAGAATTTTCTTAGAATCTTTTGATGCTTACTAGGAATGTAAGAAATAGAAAATGATGACTGTCGGTCGCATCTCTTTATTCATAAAAAAAAAAGTTTCACAACAGACAAAGAACAGGACAAAAGCTATTTTGTGAACGTAAAATAAAAATAAAATTAGTAAAATGGAATACACCAAACTATAGGTGTACGTAAAAATGTTGCATGGAGCGATTATATGGACTGCACTAGTTTGGCTGTGCTTAATTCAATGTTCTACTGTAAGCTCATGTGCATAGGTGATTAGAGGAGTTAGAAAAGGCGGCTTATCTAATAAATATTATAATTTAGTTCTCAGAATAATAGTTTCAGCGTTCGAATGGTAAAATGAAAGTATTTGATATTTTTCATTTAGAACGTTACTAACTAATCTTCCGAAGAAGTAGTAAATAGATTTCCTTTCTCATCTATATTTGTAGGTTAACGGTGATATCCAATGCTATGGTAACAAAATAAACAAGAGGTAATAATGTTCTCTTATTTTCTTTTAAAATATACCACATATAGCTTTCCGGAATAGATGCACAGATATATGCTGTTCAAATATACAGAATGTTACTTCACTAGATATGCTGTGCTGTATTTCAGAAAGTGTTCGCATCAATCCGTGGTGGGGCATGTAAGTCGATGTTTCTATCTTGCTTACGACAGTTTTTTATTTTCAAAGAAGTCCTATATATTCGTCTCTAATCGTATACTTGACAACGGACTCTGATAGACTTCAATTATTCGCTACTAATATTTATCTATCTTTAGACTCGTTGGTATCAGTCTGCTATTATGTGCTCTTGGAATATTTTCTCGTAGTTGTAATCGTGGCCGATTTTCACAGTCTTCAGCTACAAGATGGATGTGGTTGGGTAAGAAGTTTTTGTTTTAGTTTTTATCTCTGAATAACTTTGAAACTATTTGACTATAGAACATATAATATTGCCTAAAAATTGGTGTTTTATTTCAGATACTTCTAGAAGATCGGTGTCTCCCGTTCAGTACAATGCAAATGTAGCAACAATTTCAAAAACTTCAATGCCTAATGCTCAACCACCGTATGCATATTATTATTCAGTACAAAATGACACTCTTCATCCCATTTACGCACCGCCTGTTTATTCAGAAAGAGATAATAATGCTGCTCAGATTACAAACATTAATAATCAACGATTACATCCTCAAGGAGTCTTGCCTCCTCCTCCCTATTCACCTCTAGATCCACTTCAACTTGAGCAAAAGTAGACTTAATAATCATCAATTATCTTCAACGTGATATAAGTGTTATGTATATATAACCAAACTCTTTTTTTTTTCAAAACAAAAAAACTGTGACGATAGAAACACAAAGAAATAAAAAACAACATGAAATCAAATAAAACAATTGATGATGACCCACGATCATATTGCCGTATAGTAGATATATAGAATTTCAGAAAGAAAAACAAAAAGAAAAAATATTGCAAAAAACAAAATGCTTAAACAATGTGAAATTTACACTCGTAAAAAGAACTGCAGAGGGAAAAAAAAAGCCCAAAATCCAACAAACATATAAAGTGTGATAGAGATATCATTCAATTTGTCGAAAATAGCAGTATTCAAATAAATTATTTGGTTATGATATATATGTATGTATTTTTTAAAAACTTATTGTTTGAACTAACATAAACGATTGTAAAGTGTACTCTTCGCTTGCTCTTTTGTGTTAGTGATTAGTACAATGAAAAAATTGGTTTATCAGATCAGATTACAGAGAAAAACTGTTGAATTTAGTAGATTCATCTATTTCAGTGAGATTCGGAAAATTTTATCTTGGAAGTACGATCGCTAAAACAGAAAATTTAAACTGAGAGAGGAGGCTATTTCTTCTACGATATATATTTTGAGGACAGTACATACTAGTCCACTTATTTCATCGATGAATTTGAAAGTTAAAATGTTCATATCAAGAAAAATACGTAGAAAATAAAATTGAACAAAATATATCTATATCATTCATCATTCTTACGTATCAATCATTAAACTGAGTCAATCTTTTCATTATATCACATTAGTGTTCAATAATATAAAAATGCAAACTAATCTGATGAAATTTCTTGTTCAACTTCTCTTTCATCATTTTCGATTGCTGTTGTAACATCGAAATAAGAACTTTCAATTCCATGATCTTCAGTATCTTCTTCTTCTATTCTACTACAATCTCCATCTGATAAAGATAACGATGATGACCGTCTTGTACTAGATGGTTCACTGTTTAAAGTATGTTGTTCATAGAGTTCAACATGATGATTTAATAAACTATCATTACTGCCATTTGTTGTTATAGTTGAAGGTATTTCATTATCTTCATCACCGGAACAAGAATCATATGGTAGACCATTTTCATGTTTTTTAACATGACGTTCAAGATTTGTTTGTTGGGCAAAACGACGATCACAAAGAGTACATAAAAATGGTTTTTCACGATTATGAATATTTCGTATATGTCGTTGAAGATTTGAACTAATTGAAAATGATCGTTCACAATATTTACATCGATAAGGTTGTTCACCTGAAAAAGATATATCATTACATTAAAAATTAAAAAACAAAAACAAAATTGTTTTCTTTTTGAATAATTTGTTAAAAAATAAAATATATTTTACCTGTATGAGTTCTTAAATGTCGTGTTAAATTTGCTGATCTTGGAAATACTTTTCCACAATATTGACATGAATACTTGTCTTTATTTGTTCTTGTATTTAAATAATTAAGTTTATTTAATGTATTAGATTGCCAGGAATCATAATTAATTGTAAGTCCTCGATTTAATGATAATTGTGAAAATGCTGCTGCAGCAACAGTGGACGTTGTTGGATTAGAAAATACATTATTCGTATGATAAATACGTTTTAGAACTTCTAAGTTGAGTGGAGACGTTAATGTGGCCATGTTGGATAAAGGAGATTTTGATGGTATATTTTTTGTTTTGTTATTTTCACATGATGATGTGACACACTTTTTATTTAATAATGATTCGACATTGTACTTGGAAATTGTTGTTGAATTACACCGTTGTTCACATTGTTCAGATGTTGATAGTGAATGAGAACTACTGCCATTTGTACTGTGTGTTTGGTTAGCTAAACAATTGAAGAAAAAAAAAGGATGAATTGTTCTGTTTTTTTTGTAGCGGTATGAAAATCACTTGAAAATGAGTATGATTTCTTGTAAACTTACTGTTTGTTTCTGATTTTATTTTTTCAAGTGAAGATGGTCGACATTGATTATCGATGGGAGTTGAATGAGGTGTATTTGACATAGTATTTAATGCTGGAGACGATGATTTAGAGGAGGAAGATGACGATGAGACATAGTCGTGATGGTGTTCATCCGTATGATCATTATTTTTAAAATAAGACATTTTTGATTTTTTAACAGTTAAATCAAGTGGTTCATCATCATTATCTTCCATTTTCAGTGTACGTTTCTTTGACGTTGAATGATAACCATTTACTTTTGTTGTGTCTTTTAATTGTTCAGGTGAATTTGTTGACGATCCCATATCATCAACGACATCATTTTGTGATTTATTTGTTTTTATTGAAGAGCATCCACTATTGTTTTTATTGTATTTTGTTTTTGTTATCTCATCTGAGGTGGCTATTGAGGAAGATGATGACAGTGGTGATGGATGAGTATTGGTATTTGCTGTTAAAAATGTATTAAAATATGGAATTGTTGTACAAGTATTTGGTGCAGTTGGCGTAAGTGTAGCAAAACGAGGTAAATACGGTATTAATGAATAGGGTAAACTTGATGAATTCCATAACCAACTGTTTAATTGTTCTTTGTTCAGTGATGGTTTGGGAGTTTCGGATGAATAAGTATTAACGTCGCCACAAAATCTTCTAAAAATAAAAAATCGATTTTATGACTCTATTTAATACTGTACATGAACTTAAATTGTAATACCTGTGTTTATTAAGTGCTGCACTGTTTGAAAATGTTTGTCCACAAAATCGACATTTTACTTGCGTTCGACAATCAGCATGCATTCGCTTATGACGACACAAATTCGAAAATTGAGTATAAGCTTTAAAACAGACCTGAAAAAGAGAAAAAACAACACGGCTTTAGCAACTGATGAAATGTTCTTATTAGAAAAAGATAAACGGACTAGTAAATATCAATATTTTTAGTTATGCATAAATGAAGTTTAAATAAAAATATTCAACACAAACCTCACACTGAAATGGCTTTACACTACTATGAACTAAAATAAGAAAAAAATAATAAGTTGAAATAAATGTGAAATAATTTAAAAATTTTTATTTACTGTGCATATGCTGTTTCAAACCACTGGATGTTGCAAATGTTTTACCACATTCTGTACAAGGATGATGACGATTTTCTGATTCACTTCCCGAACTTGAACACTGACCACTAAGAGCGTTGTAAGGCGAGATCTAAAATCAAAAGATAAACTATAGACTATGATTTGTGATGAAATTTAGTAAAAAAAACGAAGTATTGAAAGACTCCAAAAAGATGGTGGTAAAGAAAAAAATTGTTCTATTATCGGTTTTCTAAGCGAAGAATAAAGTATCTTCTTGTGAATTTTGCTAAATTTCAGGTGAGGATATATACTATTCTCTATAGAGCACACTTATCCTCTTAATAACATGACTACTCTTTGGTAATTTATTTGTAGTTCAAACATTTACCAATTTCTGAACAGGATTCTACTAGATCCTCTATTATCATAGTCATAAATTAATCCAAACGTCTCTTAGTTGTTAACTGATATTAGTTAACACGAGATTGTGGATATAACGTATGAAGTGACTGTGAAGTGGTCTTAATTGATTTTATTAAATATATGGTGGAAAAAAAAGGTGAGAAAATATTTATATACTTGAGTTTTAACTCATCATTATTATGTATAAAAATTTAAAAAATATAATTACATTCTTGTACCTATTCTAGAGAGACCATATGTCTGTTTATTCATATCGTCTTCTCTCGTTTAGAGACATATACATCGATTTACTTGTCAAATTCAATCATATTGGGCGGATGTGATAAAATAGAGATGCCGATATATCCAACTCATTCACTCATTTAACAACAACAACATGAAAAGAACCTATAAATCTACTGAACATTGTTCCACTGTATAATTATGTTCTAAAAAGGCAGGTGATTAAACCGTATGGAGAGTGAGTGAATGTATATCATCAGGCGATCGAGGAGAGAAAGAGAGAAAAAAGTTTATACATATACATATATATATATATATATATATGTGTGTGTATATACACACACACACAACAAAATGACCAAAATCATCATTAGAAAATGATGAATATTGACCATAATTCAAACTTCATACGATTATTCTTTTCATCCTGCGACAAAACAAACGACACTCACCGATGGTCTTATTTTGGTTAGAAAAAATTTCCTTCTTTATTAAATTTTAAAAACAATGGAAAAGAAAAATGAATACTAATAAAGAATTTTACCACTGACACAAGATGGTAAAAGAAGGAAAGAGGTTATTTCTGTTAAATGTCACATCACTACATAGATCGTGAATAATAAATGTGATTATAACTATGAAAAGAGAGAGAGAGAGTCAGAGTTTGAACAATACAATAAAAAAAGGTACTAGTTTACGCATGATCTAAGTATCGATAGAATGAAGAAACTTGAATTTGTTTTTCACTATATGCAATAGGAAATTGTCTAAAACATTGAACTTCTTCTATTTTTATATATCGATATTAAACACTTGATTTCATACTGTGATGTCTCATTCTTCACAGAATTTGTTTTAATCTTTTTAAAGATAGAAATTTCCGACTGTGTTTATCGATGATGTCTATGTGAAAAAACTGATAAAAATCAACTTGTATTCTCTCTTTCACACATTGATTTGACACCTTTTTCAAAAGTACCTAATCATCATCAACTTATAGCTAATAATTTGATGAGATGAGAACGATAAAGAAGTTTCTATCTATACTGTTTCTTTTTTCTGTTGTTCTTGATGTAGACTATAATGTTTAATAGTAGATGAGAAAAAACAAGAAATCATAAGCATCTTTTATAAAATATAATCCATATTTTCATCATTGTTCTCTTTTTTTTTTGAGTGGTCCGATTGAGTAATCAAATCACTTGTTTACAAGCTTTTGAACAAATGAATCTTTTTATTTTCTCATTATTTTGTTATGTTTGTGTAATATAGCCTGATGTCCGATCCAATAATAATAATAATAATAACAACAACAACAAGAATAAAAACAATAATTCATCGGCAACATGAAAAGCGAAATACGGACATTGATAAAATTTGATTATTATTATAATGTTGTCACTGAATCTTTTGTCGCGTACTACCAACAAATCATGTATACATATTTATTTAGACCAACTACATAGAAGAAGAAGAAGAAAAAAGAAAAACGACACAAAAGAATATTTTCTTATTCCCTAAATATATAGACATTATAATTATAATAACATTTGTACATTACCTGAGACGAACAATGATGCTATATCTCAGTACAACCAATCATGATGAGAGATGACAAAGTATGTGAGATACTCGTTTTACATAGCAAGGACAACACCGTTAAACCATGATTATTTTTATAGCGGTAACCCATGCTATTCAAGGTTGACATCTATAATATCTTTTATCAAGAAAGTAGTGTATATAACAGAAACTTACTAAAAGAAGTTATTCGTGCTTCAATCAAATTCTTATCAGTAGATCATAAGCAACAAACTTAAAATTTTCTAACATCAGATAGACAAACAAGTATTTAAAACTATTCTTATAACTAAATAAGATTGACTTCAACTAATTGAAATGGACGAAATTGATAGTAAAACGACTAGACCATCATAAAATATGTGTCTGACTACCACTAATCAGTATCTTTTATCGGCAAAATTCTAAACAAATTATTATTTGAAAGTAGATAATATTTCTGAAATAATTGTCTTTTTAAAATTAAAAAGGTCGAACGATTCAATGGGTAATTTACCTTGAATAAAAACTAAAGATGTACCAGAAAAAAGCCTCAAATACCATCATCATCATCAATATCAATATATACGTGTGAGTAGACAATTATGAACAAAGACAATATGGAATTACACATTTTTTTTTCTTTTTTTTGTTCTCTATTGATAAACGATGATGATGATGATGATGAAAAAATATTGAACTTGACTTTTACTGTGAACATATCGGCAACTTTCAAACGTTTCAAATTGAAAGAGAATTGTATGTATATATGATACGTAAATTTATACTCAGTATATGACCTCTCGGACATCTCTCTCTATCATAACTTGTACATAGATATCATACAACAAAAAATGAATAAAATCATCAAAGTATACAACATGGAATGAGATGAACGAACAAAATAAAAATACCTTTACTTATGATATTTGATCATTTTTTCACCTCACCTTTCTGATACAATTGAACTACACGCTTTTTGATCGCACTCTTTCTCTCTCTCTCTCTCTCTCTCTCTCTCTCTCTCTTTCTCTCTTCTGTAATTAGCACAACATGATGGATTACGATGTGTCTAATATCGAAATAGTCATTTTCCAAATCTACAAATATGAACACTTTTCATTTAAACTTAAATGTGTAAAAAGAGTTAATTCTAATACTACAAATAGTCTAGTTATTGCTTACAATATTAAATTATCAAAAATAAATTATTCTCATTTATTAAATGTAAAACGAGACTATTGTTATTCATTGTTAATAACTTTCATATAGACAGTTCATCATCATTATTCAATGAAAGTTTTTCCATTGACAAGAATAAAATCTTTGGATGTTAGAAAATTTTTGACCATTTTTTTTTCCTCCTTCATCATGTCTACTCATTATTTTGTACAGTACAATATATCTGTCTGTCATTTCTTAAAAAATACTTGAGATGAGCATATATGTGTTTATAAATAGGGTATATATAGATTTATAAAGATACAATGGAGGAGGAGAATTGAAACACAAAGAGAATATAAATATACTTTTATGTCAACTATATTTGAATGATTAATAAAATTTTGATGTCAAATAATAATAATAATAATAATAATAATAATAATAATATTGATGATTTTTCATTCATGTTTGATCACCATTACTGTCAAAAACAGAACAAAACATAATAAAAACTTACATGATTCATTCATTCATAATACTGTCGAACTTCATTAATAGTCCATAACAATACTTTAAAATACTAATGTAGTAGCACTATTATAGTAAAAATCTGATAAAGATCATTTAGTGGTATTGAACGAACGATACATATAAAAAATGAAATAAAAAACTATTACATCAATTTCTTAGTAATTATTAACTTCTTAAATGAAATTTAATGAAGTTACTAACTCATATCAGAAGTTTATTTGAAAGGAAAAATTTGAATAAATTTTGAACAATAAATTAGAAAGTAAAGGTAATTCTTCGAATTTGAAATTTGATCATTTCGACTTATTCTCAATTCTAACTTACGAAAAATACTTTTATAAACAAATATTTGATTTGATACTTAGCTTCTCATTTCTCAATATGTAGAAATGATATTAAACATTGAAATAAATTATTCATATTTTTTTTAACCAATAAAACACATATCCGAATGTCATCTGTTTATAACAGATAAACAAATAATATAAAAGTTTCAATTATACCTGTAATTTTGATGAAAATTTCTTTTGATTACAATTAAAATGATTATCAATTGTTGATTTTAAATTTCGACTTTTCATTTGATTAATACATGTGTGGTGTATAGAGGTAAAATAAAAGAGAATGAATTAGTTTAACGGCATGAAATAAAAATGTTAAACAATTTGTTCAATGAACGACTATAAATATGATCAAAAATAATAATAATAATAATAATGACAGTTGTGTATATCGTTAACCCATCTGGTTGTGTAGTCACGAATTTTTTATCAAATAGGATGAGAGAAAATAAAGTAACATAAAGAAGAAGAAGAAAAAAATCTCAAATCAGAAGAAGATGATAATCAATATTTTGCTCATTAATGATGTGTTTTTTTTTTCTTTTTTTCTTATTTTAGTAGAGTTTATATTGTATGGGTAGGTATCCGCCCTCATCAAAATGCAAATAGACAACATGAAATACATGATTTTACAGTTATTATCCATGCATCAATATATATATATATTTTGCTCGCGCACTCTTGTATTGGTTCCTCATACTAGGTTTTTTTCTCTTCTTTTTTTTCTAATAGGGACACATTTCTTCTTCATCATTGTAATTTTCTTCGCTCATAATCCTTCTATAATTGTCGTGTGTCGAATAAGAAAAAGACAAGCTTTTAAATATTTTGTTGTGTATTTATCAAAATCGTCAAGATACACGCGATTATGAAGCACACACACATACCTTTTTTACGCATTTCTCTCTTCTCTTTATCAACATAGTTATTCATTTAGTTTTCCTTTGTTTTTTGATCGAAATACACTCTAAAACTAGTCTAATTTCCCTATCCAAAATATTAATTGTATAAATGAGCTTGATTAACGAGAGAACTAAATATTAGACCAATACAAGATTCGAGATTAAAATATGCAATGAAATCAACATATGACTTGAACTTTGAAAATACGTGCAAAATTAGATATTGGTGTATGTTAACTAAAATCGTTTTCTTTAGGAGAGAGTATAAAGTATAGAATACGCTACCATTTGACAGAATGTCAAAATAAGTAAACTTTAGTATTTTTTCTTTTCAAACTATTTGGCATCATATCCAACTAAGCTGCTTCAAATTTCATACCACTAAATTAAAATAGACGAGAAACCACTAGATTAGAGACCAGTCACTCAATCTAGATTTTCGCTTTCTTTCGACAAACTGAGCTCTTTGACTCAAAGTACAACGATATAAAAATGCTCGAAGTCATTGATTCATCGCTTAAAGTTTCTCACTAACACTCATTCAAATAGGTCATTTCTTTCGTGGAGAATTTCACACTTTGTAACATAAACATACCTTATTTGCATTCCAAATTGTGTCGTCTTGATCTTTTCTTAGTTCTTCAAAGTTATTGTGTGGATAAACGCTAAAAGAAACAAATGATTGCCTTGAAAACGCAAGAAAAAAGTTTTTTAATACAAACAAGCAACAAAGAGTCAATGAATATATTTGCTATATGCTTATCCTACCTAACAGTTATCATTCACACTAAAGATCAACAGTTAGAAAACATTTTCTATAAAGAGTATTTATTCATACATTCAATATAAAATATATGTTGTTACTGTTTCTTATTTTTCTCTATTTTTTAAAAAAATACTACTACCACTATTATCACCAAACAGTAGTATTGTACATATAACAGTAATAACAAAGAACAAAGGTGTTAGAACGAATGAAAAGAACAAAAATAAATCTATCGTCTATAATACAATGGATCTAGTGTGCGATAATGATAATTAATAACATAAGGAAAAGAGAAGAATAACGACTGATGATCATAATTGTCTTTCTATTCTCGCGACTATTTGCTACCTGCAATCAGTGAACTGATTTATTTCCAAAGCAATGATGCACAAAAACTTGAGATTGTATATAGTATACTGAATATATGTAGAGAGTCGAACTTTCTTTCATTTCTGTCCAATGATAGAGACATGATTCTCGAACAATTTTTCGTTTTCTCTTTATTCTTGTCTGATAAAATTGAAAAGAAAAAACTAAAAGCAGATGAATCAATCCAACCACAATACATTTCTTTTGTATTCATGGATATAGATGAAACGTATTTTCAACAAGCTTTTCTAAGAAACAGGACACTTTTTTTTAACTACCTAATAGACCAGATATAGTTTAGTTTCAGATTTTGACGAACATCATCATTGACATAAACCAACATTTATTTTGTTCGGTTTATAATCAACAAAATGTCTAATTCAGTTTATAATATCTCTATAAGGAGTACCGTTAAAATAGCACACTCAGATCGCTAAAATCGGACTGTCTACTGTACTGTATGGTAGAAAAGACTTACATGAATATTATCAAACTTCTTTTCTTCGTATGACTATCGACGTTTATCTGCACATATTTTTCCGATATGAAAAATTCATCCTATTTGTTTTTAGTGAAGAGATGATCACAGTATAAGCAAGGTAGTAAATTTTGTTTATAAATTATGACATTAACGATCGTTTTAAACCAATAAGATACGCATCATAGGTAGAGATGGAGATATATATATATTTCTCTCTTAAAACTGCATAGATAAATATACATATCTCTCTAGTAGTAGTTTGTAATCAACGAAGTTAATTCTCAAGTTTCCAGACATATTTCATATCTTTTTAATGTTGTTAAACAAATTTTCAATACATAAATCAAGAGAGAGGAAGATTGTATATATACTCACATATCATATTGTTCATAATGAAAGAAATAAAAAAAAGTAAACGAACACAGGTAGCTGTATAGATGTACAAGTTCAAGTATATTTGATAAACATCCCTATTTCATGGTCATAGTTCAAATATATCATCTGTTACTCTTCAGGATATACTCGCGCTGCAAAAAAATGAGTATGAGCAATCTTCAGTTGTTTACAATTTTTAGCATCATCATGGTATGAAACTTAAAATATGATCTTTGACGGCAAAGTTTTGTTCTTAATTTTATATACAAATAAAAATATTTTCATATGAATATATGTGACTGAGTGTCAGCATCAGAGTAAAGATTTGCAATCTGACTCAGACCTAATCCAAGGATCGAGTTGAACCTTTTAAGACGTAATTCAAAATATGAATAATAATTTCAATTCTGCATTATTCTTTGGATTGAAATTAAGTTTTACGGTTATTTTCAGTTAATACTTATTTAGAGATCTGCTCGGTTTAGGTCTGAACTTCTGCAGATCTCTACAACAGAGTGATACACTAACATCTCTAGTGCAAATCATCTTCTACATGTTTGATGACTATTCTCCAATTTGTATTTTAAAATATCTTGTTATTTAATAACATGTTGCTCGATATACTCAGATGCTCAATATCCCCAATGACTATCATCAAACGTATTTCTCATCTTCCATCTTCCATCACATATGTTCTCTCGTGTGTGTTCTACACTCTTATCATAGAAAAATACAACCACTATTCCGACTTTATTTGACAAACAACATAATGAAGTGTTGTTACTTCAAATCAATCGTCAACATATGAAATATGTCTTATGTTTGAACACCTGGACGAATGATGAAGATGCTGATGACAATACGGTAAAAGTTTATATAAATGATCATTTTTGATTATTAGAGGAAGATATTACTAATGAAGTCATCAAAAAGAAAAAAAGACCATCAACCATATTTTTTTATCCCTTTTTCACGTATTAGTTTTTATATTCTCGTTTGAATTTTTGATACAATATGGTGTCGTAAATGTTAAAATTCAATAGAGTATCATCTAACTTATATTCAATGAGATGATCAATGTGACGATGACATGCACATGTACATTAGATATACAAGGGTATGAATATAAAATGGTATAGGGACAAACCTGTTTAGATTATTTGAATTAAAATAAGCTAAATTATAATTTCGAATATCGGTATTTCGATGATCAATTTCGTTCAACTCTTCTTCTTCTTCCTCGTCGTTGTCGTCGTCGTTAACTGATGAATGACTTTCGTCGTTGCTAGGAGTTGAATATTTGTTGTATAAATAATTATTTTTAAATGTGCCCTTACTACTAGTATTTATGGGCAACAATGATGTATTATTTAATAATGGATGTAATGGTTTAGCAAGATTTTGGTAGTCTAAATTAAATAATAAGAGATATCAAATTTGTCTATTTAAAATATACTAATAACAAAACTTCCACACTTCTTGAAAAGTTTTATTTTATTACAAATCATTTTTAGTACATATTTAATGTACTTTTGAAATTTTTTCAAAAATTTTTTCTTTTTTGTTAGAAAACTATAGTATTTATTCGTTCATAAAAACTATATCAAAAAAGTATTTACCTGTAGCACTTTCGATGAAAGCCGAATGAATATTTGATATTGTTTCGACAACAAGACGAGTGTTCATCGCTTAGATACTAAGACTCTGTCAATGTGTTGTTGACCATTTGGTCTTTATGATTAATTTATAAAAACGTTTGTAATTTCTAGAAGAAAAATAAAAATGAATTGATCAACTGTGGTAAAAAATTTTATATAAAACTAGAACAGGTCTAAAGCTTTAAATTATCTTATTTCGTAATCTAGATATCTTTTATTGTACGATTCATATGATTTCTGACATTTCCTAATCAGAAAAAGTTTTGGCCGACAAAAATAGCAGAAAAAAATGAGCCTAATTGGGGCGAAAATTTTGATCGAAACGTCTTCCGATAGGTAAAGCTAAAACTACGCAAGAACAAACGAATAAGTGTCAATGTTCTTTTGTTACAGTAGACATATTTTTTGTCCATTTCTATTGACCCTCTTCCTTTCTCTAGTGTTTTGAAAAACACCTGTTGATGAAATAGCATTCTTCTTGAATTTTTTCTACATTAAAAAAATATGGATATTTGTAAAAAAAAGAAAAGAAAAAAGGAGGATAGAATTTTAGTGTTGTCTCCTAACATCATAATTCCGTTAGGAATGCATCTATTTAGACTTTCTAGAAGAAAATGGTGTCACTTTACTTTTGTATGATTACAACTAAACAATATTGTCGTGTTTTTCAAAATATTCTTAGCTCTAACAAAATATTCAACTCTCTTGAAAATGTTTTGATTCATTGAAATTATTATCTTTCTCTCATTCTCTGTGAGAAGTGATTAAATAGTTAAAATGTTTCGAGAGATGATCATGATAAATCTTCATTTCCCATTTGAAATAGGAAAGAATGAATAGTAGTAGCATACATACATTGACTATGAGACACTTAATAATATCTGTCAATTGTTTCAGGTAAAAAAAAATGAGAAAATGTCTCTCACACACACTCACACACACACATATATATATAATGATCGATAGATAGAGAGAAGAACGGAAGCAATGGTACCCATTTACAGTTAAAAAAATGAATAGAAGGAATGTGCACACATTTTATAGACGGTCTATCAAATTAGGATGTATGATAATATTTCTAGAGTATACTTCAAATTGATTTTCTAAACAAAGATACTTTTATCGACTTTTTCCTTAAATTATAATTTAAACTATGTAAAATAATTTTTACTAAATTTTGTTTCATATATAAGATAGTATCGTCAATTATTAACGTCTAATACTATTGTATAGATAATATATTAATTTTTATTTTTTCAAAACATGACACACGGCTTATTGACTTTGAGTTTATTAAAACAGATTGTAATCAATGACGATGATGGGAGAGACTATAATATGCGCATACTTTTCAAGTGGGTGCTTTTATAATCTTTTGACAGGAAACTAAAAATGAGAGAATGATAGAGAGAAATTTATCGACCATATTTAATACGTACTCTTTTTCTTCTTCTTCTTCTCTCTTTCTCTCTCTCTATTCAACTTTTAGATGGTACTACACAGGTAATAAGATCTGTATTGATTGAGAAAACGACTATCGTTCTACAAACGGTAAGTAATTTTATCAGAAGTACTTGCACAGTTGATAGTCGAAATGAATCGGAAATAAGACTTTAATGTTATCTATTTAAGTTAAAAATTTTTGTTGGCAAACAATATACAGACACCAGCTGATGAAGTCAATCTGAGACAAATATTTAAAATAATTTTGATTCCTTAGTCTTTGCTCAATTAATCATATTCATATTTAAAACAATGTACAGAAATGAAAGACAGACATTTTATTCGAAAGACAAAAGAAAGCTATCAAATTAATTATCTTTAGTTTTTTATCGTACATACGCGTTTTAGTTTTATGCTTATTCGTAAGTCTAGTTTTATAAGACATTATCAAGTGAAATATATATTTTTTTCATTTTCAGTTGAATTTTCTTCTCTTTTTTGAGGGGGGGGGGGAGGGGAAGGACGATGATGGCGATATATTCATCAATACAAATCATCCATTCGGTAGCCTTACAAATACGAAAATACGACAGTGGCATAGCCTATAATGTATCGATCTAAAGTGTCAATAACTAAGTAATAATTATGTCAATAGACGAAATAGAGAACAGAACAAAATATATATATATATACAGACATTACTTGTATAGATTCGTAAAATGAAAAAAAATTTGTCTCACATATACACACACACATCACTACATCTATTTAAAATGTTACCAGCACTAATACGTAGGTGTTCGTTCTTGTTTTTGTTATTATTAACATTATCATTGTGTTATTATTAAAATGACTGTCATCCCGTGTCTATCATGTTTCTTATACTATACACGTCTTTTATTGATATTATTTTACTAGACTTCTACCTTTAACATTGATTGTTTAAATACATACAGCACTACTAATACTATCAGACAGAAATATATAAATTTATTCGTCTACAAAATGTATCTGGTTACCTGATGAAACACGGACTACTCGTTATTATTATCAATTGAATATATATCAGAAACGAAATTAATATCATTCATTTTCGTCACTGTTAAAAGAACTTGACGTTTTGATTCTTATCAACAAATAACTATCTACACACACACACACACATACAAATCAATGTTCACAGAGAATCATCCAGTGATGAACAGAGTGTGTATGTGAACAAATACTATGACAAAGGAGTGGGTTATTGTAGCAATCAAAATGGTTCGATAAAAAGGAAAACAACAGGTAGATAATAGCTAAACATAAGAAGAAGAAGAAGAAAAAAAATTGGGGAACATCTGTATCTGCTTTTATATGAATATATTTCTTATCAAAGCAATAATGAACATAGTAACAAAAAGAAAAAAAAACGTTTCTTTGAAACAAATTGATGTTATATCCAATTGATTTCCTGCCCTAGAAGCGTCCCCCTTTTTCTTTTTTTTACTCGTTTCACTTTTTTTTTTCTTCACAGAATACAGGAAATGGACACCGTCAAAAACCTTTCAGCTATTTCACCTTCAAATCTTTTTTCCTTCTTTATAGTGTCTATCACTGTTATTGAAGAGAGAATGTATCTAACAGCAAAATAAATCAATAAGGAATTGATCACTAACAAATATAGTGTGAAAAAAAAGAAAAAAGAAAAAGTGTAGTAGTAAGTAAAGCCAATAGCATCCGTTTGGACTATTCTGTATACTTTACTTCTTTTTTTTTGTTCCTTCGAATTCATAACTAAACATTTATTTTAATAATAAATATTCAAAAAATAAAAAAAATTCTTTTAAAATTAAATTTAATTATGATTTATCTATATGCTAACATCACTTTTCTAACTCGAATGAAACATTCCATTTTCATGTGGTGAAACTAATTTCTTTTCAGAAATAAAATAAAACTATTTAAAATTTAAATTAAAAATACTATTCTAATTGTTTTGGATTACTCAAAGTACATTCTTCTTATAAAGAATAACAACAACAACACATTGTTATTATTTCATATACTTCAAACTAACTCATTACAATACTCTTCATTATTAAAACTCAAGTACCATAAAATTTATTTATAAAATAAAATAGTCTACATAGCATTACTTTTGAATAACAGATACCAAAAACAGTTACTAATCTTTTTCACTAATACAAAATTAACTATTTCTTTTGTCTCATCTTTTAAAATTCAAATCTTTGATAAATATGTTTTATTAAAAATCTATATATTTAAAGAAAAACTAAATTTTTTATGATCACTTAGCTAAATTATTAAAAATCTATATTAAAATGATAAATATCGGATATTTTACCTGATGTTGATAATAAAATTTTGTCGTTTACATGAGATGACTACTATTACTATCGAATGAATGGTGAGAACGAATCATAAATCGGTTCATTTATTTCTTCTTCTTTTTTTTTATTCAATCTTAAATACATGCATACATACACCGAAGAAAAATAATTTTTATTATTTAACTCGTCTCTTTTTTTCATTCGCATGAAGGATGATCTGAAAATATACATTGTTATTATTACGATAAAATGAGAGAGAGAGAAAGAGAAAGAGAAAGAGAAACATCGGAACTCAATAATGATGGCACCGATTTTCTTTTCTCTTTTTTTTGGTTGTTCTATAAGATGTTTTGTGCAACGACGATGTATATCGACACTATGTCTCTCATCATCATCATCATCATCATCACATCATCATCCAATACAAAAGCGAACCTGTTCGATGGAAAAGAAGACGAGCTGTGTTTTTTCCTCTATTTTTCTTCTTCTTTTTTTCCTTTTTCTTTCTCTTCATTTTGTTAGTATATGATGATTGATGCGAATTCAACAGTAGGAGAAACATCATTCTTTATCTTATTTGCTTTTAGAAAAACATCATATTATTTTTGTCGAATTATGATTCGACATAGGAAAAAAAAAGACAAGATAATTGTGTATTGGGAGAGAGCAAGTATATGTGTATGTAAAATGAAGAAAAGAAAAACAAATCATTTTTCTTGTTTAATAGATTATTATTATTTTTTTTTTGTTCTATCTTATAGACGAATGTCTAGTTGAAGAAAAAAAACTTAAAGTGGTAATATTAATTATAATGTCGAGTATACAAAACAACGACGTCTATCCTCACCTAAGTATTTGAAATCTTTTGCACCACCTCAGAGATTCGAGTCCTCAATGTATCACCTAGAAAATGAATTTTTACAGCAAAAAAGCGTTCCACCAACTTTTGTTTGAGGCATTGTGTATCAAACGTTCTACAGGATAGACACTCCTGATACAAAATATTCATACATTTCTTACCATAGAATATGTGTGTTTTCTACGACAGTATGATGTTGTATGATATGCAAATGATGAAATATCTCATAAAATTGTGTGACGAGAAGTAGTGACGTTCTACTTCTTCTAAACTCTACCTTGTATTATCTATTAGTTTCTCTTAAAGTCAAAAAAATCATCAAATAAGTAGACAAATTAACCTAAAATTAGTTGGTTTATCACAGTTGTTAGGATCCTGGAGAGATCCTAAGAC